ACAGTTGCATGCTTGTGCAGCCATACATAGGCAAGTTAGTTAGACCCTCAGTACCTTGGTTTTGTCATCCTGGAGCTGAGGTAAGGATTAAAAAATGTTAATACATGTAAAGCTTAGAACGGGGTCTGGCACTTACTATTAACAGAATAAATGTTAGCCATTTTTTATTATTTGCACCATTCACAAGTTAATGAGAATGTTAAAGCTGGATGGGGCTGAGGAGGCCATCTGGGAAACATTTATGCAGAAAATAGTTTTCTAGCTAAGCCTTGGAAAGTGGATAGGATTTCAATAGGTAGGGAAAACAAGGGGAAGACATTTCCAGGCATTGGGAATAAAGGTGAGATATTCAAGTATGTTTGGCAGATATATTTAGCAGAAACCAAATGGAATGTGTAGGAAAGCGGTAGAAAATAAACCTGAAAGCTAAATTGAGGGCACATAATAAGGCATCTAGAATTCATTCTACTCTCTCTGGTTAGCAATAAAAATCAAGAAATCTAGCTTGAAACCCTCTGTAATTTGACTCCACCCCTGTGGGCTTCTTTTCTCCTGATGCTTACCTCAGGACCACACTGGGTACCAGGGTCTAACCCAGCGGCCTCTTCTCATTTTCACCCTTAACCCCTCTACATTGTTAGGCTTTTGTGATCTTCCTGAAACTCTCATCATTGGCTTATGATTCAGCTGCTACTACTTGAAGCTGAGAATGCAGACTAGAAGTCTATAAAACTCCAACACATATTGACTTATCTTGAACACACCTTTTATAAAACAAAGTTGTCAATGGTAACAATATCTGGGTATAAGCTAGATACAAACTACACATTCAAGGCCAGTCTTTAGATGTGTATTGTCCAAGCAACTGTCAGTATATCAATCTCTTTGATCTTTTAATTACAAATATTACAAACCATCTATACTAATAAAAAGTTAACATGCTAATTAGACTAGGAGACCTTCCGGACGTCCATCAGGACAAAGCCATGGTGGTGGGGCCGAGGCAGAGGTGATTAGGGGCGATCAGGCCAGGAGGAGAGGGTAGTTGGGGGTGATCAGTCTGGCAGCAGCGGGCAGTTGGGGGCGATCAGGCCAATCGGCGGGGAGGGGGAGAGGGGGTTGGTTAGAGCAGTGTTTCCCAACCTTCTCTCATGATGAGAATCACCTGGTGGAGTTGTTAAAACACAGATTCCTGAATCCCAACTAAGAAGTGCTAAACTAGAATTTTTGGGAACATATAGGTAAAATTGTATACTTAACTAGTGCTCTAAGACAGATTTTATATACAGAGCACTAAGTTAGGTATGCAATTTTACCTATATGTTCTCAAAAATTCTAGTTTAGCACTTCTTAGTTGGGATTCAGGAATCTGTGTTTTAACAACTCCACCAGGTGATTCTCATCATGAGAGAAGGTTGGGAAACACTGGGTTAGAGGCGAGAAGGCTGACAGGGTGGGAAGTTGGGGGCAATCATGCTGGCAGTTGGGGGCAAGAAGGCTGGTGGGGGGTTAGTTGGGGGAGAGCAGCTGGCAGGCGGAGTAATTAGGGGCAATCAAGCAAGCAGGCAGGTGAGTGGTTAGGAGCCAGTGATCCCTGATTGAGATCTGGCCTCAACTGGCAATTGGACATCCTCTGAGGAGTCCCAGATTGGAGAAGGTGCTGAGTGAGACCCCCGCCCATGTATGAATTTCGTGCACTGGGCCACTAGTATTTTAATGAAACATAAGCTTATATCATTATAAGATACCTATTACACATCTCATGATGTGTGTAACTTCTCTGGAAAATAATGTCCCTCAGATCCCATCCAACCCCCACCCCAACCACCCACATGGGCACTGGCTAAATTTGATTGGTGTAGAGGCAGGTCCCAGACCAATACTGGGTTACTTTGAGTCTTTCCTCAAGATTTTACACTAGAACTGAAAAATGGAAAACCAGTCTCTTGCTCTCTCTACAGAAATCAAGAGCATGTAAGCTCAGGAGCTATTGGGGAACACTTCTGCACAGATCGAGGAGCAGACAACAGCAGAAAAAAGACTGATGAAAACACCGGGAGCCCAGGGAAAAAGCTCCACCACACAGCACGTGGACAACCTTGCACCTTCCACACAGACCACGTGGGCAAGGCTTACACGGTGGCAGTCCGACCCGAGTCTTGGCAGAATGCCCTGGGATTTCTTCTGGTGTGAGGGAGGATTAGCAGCCTGCTGAGGAGCTGCTGAGGCTGTTTCTCCCACTATCTTGTGAAAGGCTGCCACAAGGCCATTTCTCATAGATCTCCCTAATTTCAGCTGAGCACAAGAATTTCCACCTTGTTCCCACTTAGAATAAAGCTACAGACTTCAGTGTAAGTCTATAAAACTGCACGGCCGTGGTTCTGAGCGACCCACCGCTCATACAGCCTATCATCTGGCCAGTTCACTTTGGTGTTATCTGTGGTATAAGGGACACAGGGAACTGACACCATAATGACTTGCTTTTATTATCTGTGTGAGTAATTAACTGTCTGAATCCATTTGGGCACGTTTACTCGTCACTGGGCAAATCTATGGAAGTATTGCAAGTCATCCTAACAGCTGTAGTAATATTACATCTGACCCTATTATTAGCCACCACCTTGCTGCCATTTGGTAGAGATGGCAAGAATTCATTCACTTTCTGAGTTCCCCTCAGTGGCCCAGTTCCTAATTCCAATCTGTTCCACGAATGCATCCCAGACCTGAATGCCATGAGGTACGATAGTATTTCTTTAATAAACATCTCCAGTTACTTATTCTTTCCCCTTAAGAAATCCAATCTCAGTGGAACCTTAAGCTTTGCCCAACTGGTGTGGCTCAGTGGTTGACCCATGAACCAAGAGGTTACCAGTTCAATTCCCTTGAACCAGTTCCGGGTTATGAGTTCAATATCCAGTGGGGGCATGCAGAAGGCAGCCAATTGATGTTTCTCATAGATGTTGTTATCTCTCTTATCCCTCTCCCTTCCTCTCTCTCTCTCTAAAATCAATAAAGATCATTTTTTTTAAAAATAGAAATCCAGGATGCATTTTTAGCCTTTACCATCAAAAGATAACATTATACACACACACACACACACACACACACACAAAGGTGTTGCATTTGATGATAGTTTCAGTAATCAGAACTCCAGTGCTAGAGATTCTCATGCATTTCCTGTATTTATTAAAATTCTAACTCTCTAGTATATTAATTTATTTTTGGCCCTTAACCTAGTATATGTAATATGATTAGCCTACACTTATTAAAGTCCAATAAATATTAAATTTCATGAAAAAAATTTAATGAAAATGTTTCTGGCTAAGTAGAAGAAACTCTCACTCTTTTTTTTTCTGTGATGAAAGTATAAATTACTCCCACCATTTATCAATAATTCCTTAGCACTTAATGTATAATCAACTATGCTATGTTTTATTTATCTTATAAATATATTAATTTTCATTAATATTAGTTACAATTGTAAGAACATGGTGGAATCACATGTTATACTTGTGCCAAATATTTATCATCCAACAAAACAAATGAAGTAGGATTAGAGTTTGATCTACATGTAACATTCCTTGAGTTTAGCTGTGTCTAATACATAGTATGATCATCTAAGCCAATATACAGATGATTGTGAATAATTAGTCATAATTTAGTATGTTAACCAATTAACTTCACTTTCCTATTTGGCCAGCTGAGTTGGTTTTTGTTTTGTTTGTTTGTTTTTGGTCAAGACCATGGACTCTGAATCAAGTGAGTCCAGGGGTAGTTGCTAGAGTCTTGAATATTGTGGAATTTGACCAAAATGGTGAATAAGTTGGTACAAACTCACCATCACTATAGAAAAATAACAAAAAAGTAAACAGTTGAGTCACTGACATTATAAGAATGGATAGGCATAACATAGTTACAAATAATAAACTCATGTCCTGATTGCCATATTAATGAAATAGCATCTTTATGAAATGTACAGACTATAAGTGATACAACTGGCTGCTTGTGGTACCTCTGAGGTGCAAGTAGTTCATGATATAATGAAAACTGGTCATAATTTGTAGTGGTTCCTTATAAAAAGTCCAAATTCATTTGAAAATAAATTTTACTAGTGGAAGTTCATTGCTTTAATGTGATTTATTGGAGCCACTATAATATAATTTATTAAGAGAATATCTACCTTTATATAAATGTTTTATGGTGATGAATTATAGTAATTATTTTTTACATTTATAATAAAAATGCACCACAATATGTCAGATTAATTTTCAATCAAGTCATAACTTATATTTTAAAATATCTTTAAAATATGTTCCAAAAAAATAATTTTATGGGTAACTTTCTCTAGCCACTCTTAGCAATGATTTCCATGATTAGCATCACAATTTTTTTTTTCTAAATGGTTTTTTGCACACGGCATAACTCTCCATAAATTAACGTGAGTCCAATCTATCAAAGGTGTTTATATGCGTTAACATATGCGTTTAATTTTAATATGCCTATGCAAGGCGCGAATAGCCCCAAGCAAGCACAGTGTGCAGTAAGAAGACCTGCGGCGGTACACGCTTTAATGAGGAAGGTCGGAGTTATGCAAGACCTGAGTTAACTCTGCAGAAAGAGGCTACAACTGAGAACGAAAATAAGACTGACAGAAGTTGTATCATTTCAAAAAAAAAAGAAAGAAAACTACCAGCGAGGCAAAAGGGCCGCTCCAAGCTGCAGGCCTTGGGCTGCCTCCCCGCCTTCGCAGCCTAGGAACCAAGGAGGCGGGAACCCCCGGCGGCGGCGCGGGCGCCCGGCCGGCGTGACCCCGGGGCACCCGCTTCCGGCCTCCTCTGCTCTCGCTCCGCCGGCTCGGGCCGCGGCGGCGGCGGCGCGCCAGGGAGAGGAAGGAGGCAGAGCTCGGAGACCTGAGTGAAGGCAGAACGTGGAGACCCGTCTGAGGAACGCTTGGAGATACCAAGATAAAAAGGCGACCAGCCTCCGTGGGGCGGCCTTACCTGCGGAGCCGCCGGCCAGGATCTGCCGCGAAGCCTCCTTCAGGAAGCCGGCCTCGGCCTTGGCCGACATCCCCGCGGGCCGCGGGGGAGGGCGAGCGGGCGGCCTGAGCGCTGCGCGGCCTGCGGGGCCTCCGGACCGAGGGAGCCCGGGCCCGGCGGTGCTGGGCGGACAGGCTCCGCGGAGGCGGCTCCGGGCGCGGGATCGCCGCGGGTCCCGACCTGCCCGCTGCGCGCTCCCAGGGGCTGCTTCCCCGCTGGCTCCTGGGCTCCGTCCACGAGGACCCTGGAGGAGGAAGGACTCCCGGACGGGGCTGGGGTGGCCGCCCGCAGCAGGTCGGGCCGCTGTCCTGTGTGGCGCCCACAGACTCCCTATCGGGAGCCGCCTGCAGCTCGTGGGGCCGGACGCGCTGCCTCTGATAAGGCCGGCGAGGTGGCCCGGCCCCGAAGCGCCTTCCAGCCCAGAGCTGGGCGACCCTTGCTCCTCCCGGCCAGCCAGGGCACAGGGCACTTCTAACAGGACAGGTGGATGAACTCCTTGCACTCAGTTATCCTGAAATTGTTGGCAACTAACTCAAAGCAAATCCAATTTGCAATTATCTTACAATTGAATTAATGCAGTCCTATACAAAAAAAGAAAAAAAAGTGCTTTAGGCTTAAGGGGATTTATCTTATACCTCATCAATAAGAGCTTTCTTTACTGAAAGGTCAAAAAGGAAAAGGTCTTATGACAAATATGTCTCTTGGGTACCCCCAGAGGCCAGAGGCCAGTGGTTCTCAAAGTATGATCCTAGGCCTCCGCAAATCCAATCTATGATGTAATGAGGGAGTTTGTTAGAAAGACAAGTTCATGGCTCCACCCGGACCTACTGCACCAGAATCTCTGGATATAGGACTCAGAAACCTGTGTTTTAGTAACCTGTGTTTTCCAGGGATTGTTATGAACGCTAAAGTTTGAACCACTGGCCTAAATAAAGAACATTAAGGAACTACCAGTTATTCTCCATAAAAAGTTTAATTATTCATACTAACCCTTTAGAATACTTGACAACAAAAGAAATAGTACAATAATTTACTAAGACCACAACTTGCAAATGCTGTGCAGGAGAAAGACAGATTCTAAAATTTTAATGGACTTAAAGGGTATTATGCTCAATGAAATAAGTTACTCAGAGAAAGACAAATACCATATGATTTTACTCAAAGGTGAAATTTAAAGAACAAAATAAAATTGAAACAGACACAGAGAGAGAACTGGTGATTGCCAGAGTGGACTAGGTGAAAGAGGTGAAGGCACTAGAAGCACAAATTGGTAGTTACAAAATAACAGAATTAGGTAAAGCGCAGGAAACATAGTCAATAAATTGTGATAACTATATGGTGCCAGTTGGGTACTAGGAACATAAAAGGAAACATTATGTAAAGTATATAATTGTCTAACCACTAAGCTGTATACCTGAAACCAATACAAAATAAAAAAATTTTAGAAAAATATCAGGCAGGAGGTAATACAAGTAAAAGGAAAACAAGACACTTTGGTACCCCTGTTATATTTCTTAAACACAGTATATAATACTAAATGTATTTCATTTGAACCATATAAAATTGCCATTTCTGAAGGCCAAAACTGTTAAATATCAGTAATATAGTGTGGTTCAATTTAATATAAATGATTTCTAATTAAATGCACAAAATACAAAAACTTGTTCATACATTGTTTTTCTTTCTTGGGCTGAACTGTTAAAAGCTGTTAATCATGATATCTAACTGGCAAATTTAAAGTGATAAATTGGAAAGATTTGTTGCTTATGTGGTTACATATGCAAAAATAAAGTTTCTTATATTTGCTTATATTTTTTATTAAAATTATAAGCTTGAAATGTTTACCAAGAAATTGTTTTCAGAAATGTGTCCTTTCTATTGAATAGATGAAGTAAAGCGTTTGAGCATATGTCAGTCTTTTACTAATTAAACAGGTCTTGAGTGTAATATAGAATCACTTATTCAATAAATATTGAGATCCTCTTATATATAAGTCCTAAAACCAAAAATTCAGAACTCATAAAAAACATTGTCCTTATGTTCCAATGAGAAAATGAATTTCCCAAGATCACAATGAATAAATAGGACATCTAGAATTCAATTCCAGGATTCTCTCTTCTAATAGCAATTGGATTGTATATTTAACAATATTAACAACAGGCCAAACTACATTCTGTCACACAAAAACCTAAAATAATTAAATTCCCCCAAATTAATTTTATTTATTCATATATAAGTGGGAAATTTTTTAAGTTAAAAAATTTGTCACAACTATTTTCAGCACTTTGTGCTGGTAATTTAGCAGTGTAATAGTTAAAATCCCTCATAGAGCCTGGCCAGCAGTGGTTGAGTATTGACCTATGAACCAGTTGGCCACAGTTCCATTCCTGGTCAGGGCACATTCCCAGTTTTGGATTTCAGGTTCAGTTCCCACTGGGGGACATGCAGAAGGCAGCCAGTCAATGATTCTCATCACTGATGTTTTTCTCCCTTCCTCTCTGAAATCAATAAAAAATACATTTTCTTTTAATGGAGCATATAAACTAATGGAGGAGATCCAACCACATTGCAATGTAAGTAAAATTTTACCTTCCCTAGATAGTTTCATGAAATACAATGATACTCCCAAGTCAAGATTTAAACTCAGCCTTTTGACAGTATTATTTCCATGAGTACCTTAATATCTGAATTTTATCCTGAGGAGGTAGATGCATGCTGTGATCTCACTAAGCCCTCAATCTCTCAAGACCCCTATGAATTCATTCAGGAGATCTTTTTTTTTTTTTTTTTTTTAATATATTTTATTGATTTTTTACAGAGAGGAAGGAAGAGAGATAGAGAGTTAGAAACATAGATGAGAGAGAGTCATCGATCAGCTGCCTCTTGCACACCCCCCACCCGGGATATGCCCACAACCAAGGAACATGCCCCTGACCGGAATCGAACCCGGGACCCTTCAGTCCCCAAGCCGACGCTCTAACAGATCTTCTCAGACATCCTTCCAAATACCCTGTAAGAAAATAGCTACATCTTTTTCACCTCTGACTAGAACAAACTTTTTAAGTTAAAAAAAGCAAGGCTGGGTATCATATAATTTAGATCCACATCTCTAGAATAGTTGAGGAGATAGAGTCTAAGTATAAGAATATTCTGGAGCTTGGAAATCAGCCAGTGCCAATCCAGAGTCAACAAATAACCAATATGCTTAGAGCTCTGATTATAGGATATATTTTATTTTTAGCCAAATTTGTCCATGTCTAATATTGGAATGCTGGGAGGTTTTGCACTGGAAAAAAAAATGATAAAATGTACTTGACCTACTATCTCAGTTTCCCTAGACTCAATCCAATCTATCACATTACTCTTTTTTATTATTTAGTAACTAATATAATATTAATAAAAATGCTAAAGTATAAGGTTTTTATTAAATTTATTGGGGTGAATCCTATATAATAAAAGGCTAATATGCAAATCAACTGAATAGCATAGGGAAGCTGAATGAATACAAAAACATGACCCAATTATATGCTGTCTACAAGAAACCACCTCAAAACAAAAGGCACACAGAGGATGAGGGTGAAGGGATGGGGAAAAAATTTCGCTGCAAATGGGAAAGAAAAAGTGGAGTAGCAATACTCATATCTGACAAAATAGACTTTAAAATGAAGTCCATCACAACAGAAAACAAAGGTTACTACATAATACTAAAGGGATTGATCCAACAAGAGGATATATATAACCCTGGTAAATATATATGCACTCAATATAGGAACATCTAAATATGGGTTTTTTTTAAAACCTTCTAGAGAACTTTAATGGAGAGATCAACAATAAAACAGTCATAGCAGGGGACTTTAACATCTCTCTGACCTCACTGGAAACTTAACAAAGAAACAGAGACTCTGAAGGACACACAAGATCAAATGGGTTTAATTGACATTTATAAACATATCAACCCAACAAAGTAGAATATACATTCTTCTCAAGTGCACATGCATCATTCACAAAGATAGACCACATGTTAGGACACAAAACAAGTTCAAGAAGATTGAAATCACATCAAGCATCTTCTCAGATCACAGTGGAATGAAATTAGAAATCAACTATAGTAAAAACACCCAAAACATGAAAACACATGGAAGCTACATACCATGTTATTAAACAATGGGTGGGTTACCAACAAGATCAAGAAATAAATTTTAAAAAAACTTCCTGAAAACAAAAATGAACCCAAAATCTCTAGGACAAAGCAAAAGCAGACCTGCAAGGGAAATTCATAGCACTACAGGCATACCGCAAAAAATAAGAAAAATAAACAATAAACTATTTAACCCCACAACTTAAAGAGTTAGAAAGAGAACAATAAGAAAAGCCCAGAGTAAGTAGATGGAAGAAAATAATAAAGATTAGAGCAGAAAAAAATAACATACAGCTTTCAAAAATAATACAAAAAAATCAGTGAAACCAAGAGCTGGTTCTTTGAAAGGATAAACAAAATTGATAAACCATTAGCCAGACTCATCAAGAAACAAAGAGAGTGGACACAATCAAATAAAATCAGAAACAAAAGTAAAGAAGTAACCACCGAACCACAGAAATATCAAGGCTCCTAAGAAGATGTTATGAAGCTATATGCAACAAGCTGGGCAATGTGGGTGAAACAGACAAATTCCTAGAAAACTGTAATCTACCACAACTGATTCAGAAAGAATCAGAAAACTTGAGTAGGCCAATAATAACTGATGAAATGGAAGCAGTAATAAGAATTTTAAAAAATCCCAGCGAACAAAAGTCCAGGTCCAGATGGCTTCACAGAGAGGTTTTATAAAACATTCAAACAAGAACTAGCACCTATTCTCCTCAAAGTATTTCAGAAAATCCAAGAGGAAGGAAAACTTCCAGACTCTTTTTTATGATGCCAAGATTATTCTAATTCCAAAACCAGACAAAGACACTACAAAGAAAGAGAAATACAGGCCAATATCCCTGGTGAACATAGATGCTACAATCCTCAATAAAATATTAGCAAATTGCATCCAGAAATATAATAAAAATACCATACACCATGATCAAGTGAAATTTATTCCAGGAATGCAATGCTGGTACAATATTCACAAATCAATAAACTTGATACATAACATAAACAAATTAAAAGACAAAAATTACATGATATATCAATAGATACGGAGAAACCATTTGACAAAAATAAAAAATCCATTTTTGATAAAAACTCTCAGCAAAGTGAGAATAGAGGGAGCATATCTCAAGATGATAAAGGCCATATTTGACAAGCCCATAGCGAACATCATACTCAATGGGCAAAAACTAAAATCATTTCCCCTAAGAACAGGAAAGACATAGGCATTCTCATTTTCACCACTTCTATTCCACCTAGTACCTATAGCCACAGCAATCAGACAAGAAGAAATAAAACAAATTCAAGTTTAAAAAGAAGAAGTAAAACTGTCCTTGTTCACAGATGACATGATACTATACATAGA